TTTTGTGAGGAAGATCAGCCCTGAGCTAACATCCATGCTAATCCTCCTCTTTTTGCTGAGGAAGACCGGCTCTGAGCTAACATCTATTGCCGATCCTCCTCCTTTTTTCCCCCAAAGCCCCAGTAGATAGTTGTATGTCATAGTTGCACATCCACCTAGTTGCTGTATGTGGGACGCGGCCTCAACATGGCCGGAGAAGCAGTGCGTAGGTGCGCGCCCGGGATCCGGGCCCAGCCCGCCAGTAGCCAAGTGCGCACACTTAACCGCTAAGCCACGGGGCCGGCCCTAGGTCCCCCTTCCTTTTCCTTCCTTCTACCTCTGAGATTTGAGTCAGACTCTGTCCTTGTCACCTTCTCATTATGGAACATGATGGCCACCTCCTCTGGGAAGCCTTCTCCTGTTAAACTATCCGTCATCCATCTCTCAATTGCTCTACTCAGTTACCTCTCAGTTTTCACTATAAATTAACACTTATTTATGTTTTGTGGTAAATAGTCTCATTTATTCACTTATTCATTCAATAAACATTTGCTAACAGCAAACATTTGCTATTGATGTTGAGCACCTTACTAAGTGCTGAGGACACAGAAAGGCATTGGACCCCATCCTTGCTCTGAGGGAGGATATATTCTAATAGGGAGACCAACTTAATTTTTGAAAATCTGTCCCACTAATCATCTATACAGGGGAGGAAAGTATGTTTACGATATTCCTATTCATCCTTCAGAACCTGGCTCAACTGCCACCTCCTCTGTGAAGCCTTCCCTGAACACCCCAGCAGAGGCAGTGCTCCATCTGCTCTGCTCTCCTTGAGCCTGGTCATTCTCCATTAGCGCCCTTATGGCCCTGAATTGTAATCATCTCTCAATGATCTCTCACAGCCCCCTACAGATGGTGTGCTCCTGGAAGGGCAGGGTCCATCTCTGCTTCGGTACAAGACCTAATCTCCCTCTGCGAATCAAGGGTCTGGGGAACTGGGAAATCCGGGAACCTGAGGGACCTGGGGCTCCTGCACTCTTGGGACTTCGGGGAACGAAATACTCACAGTTTATCCTCTTCGATATCATAATCCAAGTCTGCAAACATGGTTCCGAGAGTTGAGGTGGGCTGGCTAACTGCCCAGCTCGGCAAGGGAATGGGGAACTGGGGCCGGGAGAGAAAAACGCGTAGGGTTTAGGGAACCTTAGTGCCTAGATGCCAACCCCGGGAAAGCCGGGCCCTCCCCCGCCCCTCTGGAGGATGGCCGGAGTCCCGGGGTGGGGCAGTGGGGAGGTGATTCTTACGAGGTACAGGGGGGGACTCCAGGCCAGGGCGGAAGGCTCAGATCCCAGAGCCCGCCCCACGGGTCCCAGGCCCTTGGGAGCTGCCTCCGTCGCTCACCGGAAGCGTCGGTCCCACAGCCAGGTCCTGGCCAGGCTGGCACCTGAACCCACCTGCCTTTCCACCTGTCGGCGGCCGCGACTGTCGCGTCACTTCCGTCAGGATGCGGAAGTCCCGCCTTCCCGCCGTGGGTATTTGCCCCAATCCCTGCAGGCAACTCTTCCCTCCCCGGCTCCCGGGGCTCCCAGGACCAGGAAGGACAACAAGTATTAACGGAAGCTCGCCCTTAGCAGGAAAAAGCGGAAAGAGAGGAAAGGTCTGGACAGGCTGCAGCGCTCAACCCCGCCCCACGCCCTGTGGCCGCCGCCATCTTGGTAAGGGCAGGGTTCTTCCCAGCTTCCTCAGCGGGACGCCGGGGACCACGCCGGCCGGGCGGTTGCCGTGGCAACGGAAGCATCTTTGGACAGGGAGACCTCTGGCGAAGTTCGGTGGACTACAAACCCCGAGGCCTTCCCTTTCCCATTTTCAGCACCCCGTCCTAGGGTGCTGTGAGTCCTCTACTAGAATGACAGTGTCTGAACTGAAAGGACCCTCCCTAGATGCCAGGCTAATCCCAGTTTTGCAGATCAGGAAACTAAGTGCCAGAGAGGGAAGGGATTTTGTCCAGAGCTACCCACAGTTGGTCTAAGATCCAGATCTTGACCCTGAGACTCCTGCCGCCTAGTCCCGTGCCCTTTCAACGCTTGCACACTTGTGTTCAGTGGTTCTATTAACGACAGATTGGACAGTCCCCTTCCCTTCCCTTCCCTTTACGTGCCTCCTTTCCCCATATGCAAACTAAGAGCATTGAGGCAGATGCTTTCTATGGTATTTGGTAAAAGACTCCTCACCCCATCCCCCACCTTAGTCCTGAGGCGCAGCTCCCCTGGGGTCCCACTGAGGGTCACAGCCCCCATGTACCTGAGGCTCAGGAAATGCCAACAGTGCTTCCCTGCCAAGGAGTCTGTATCTCGTCTCCCTGCCAACCTCTGCTATTGTGTGAAGTGGATTCCCTGGAGGGGGTTGGTGCTCCCAGAGCCGCTGCCCTGGCATCCACCTCATCCGGGCAGCAGGGGCCCAGACCCATCCAGCTTCTTTCCTGGCTGCCGCCAGGGGCAGCGGAGGAAGGAAAGATGCAAAGAGATTATCCACATATCCCATAGCCTGATGGGAGCTCCTCTGGACACCCTCCTTAGGGAGCTAATCTGAGTCTCAGCAAATGTGCAGAATGCCACAATAACAACAACCTTCCCATGTACCCAGTGCTCTGCAGTTCAGATCACTTTCACAGGATTGTAAAGTTCACCATGACCCTGTGGGAGGAGAACAAGGATTGCCAGCCACATTGTGCAGCTAAGGAAACTGAGGCTCAGAGAAGCAGTGTCCGGTTGTCTCACAGGTGGTCGGTGGCAGAGCTAGGGCTGGAACCTCAAGCCCTGTTTGCAGGCCAGAATTTCAGTTTAAAAAAAGCACAGCCTCCAAATCCAGATACTTGAACACGGACTGTGGCTCTTCCACCCGTAACAGACCCTCGATCAAGCCCAGATTCTGCCATTTGGTAGCTGAGTGATCTTGGGCGAGTCACCGCCTGACTCTGAGCTACAGGTGTCTGCAGCCCAGGGACAATGGTCCTCTCAACAGGTACTTGTGCAGGTCAAGAGAAAAAGGAGAAACAGGTGTGAGTCCTTTGTAAACAATTCACGTGGCACAGATGTCACTTGAGCCTCCTGACCCCCAGCCCATTCCGGCCCCTCTTCCCAGGAGAGGGCAAGATGCCTAGACCCTCTTTTCTGCCTGGTAACTTCCCGCGTTCCAGGCCCAGCTCTAACCCACCCTTTCCAGGCAGCCTTACCAGACAATCCCAGCTCACAAATCTTGCCCCTTTTTCTGAGCTCCTGAAACAGTTGTTGTTTGAGTCACTCATTTGGCAATTAAGTATGTATGGCCTTGTGAAATCCCTTCATAGCTTCCCTGAGCCAATTCTGTGTTAATTAACTTATTACATGATTGTATTTTGTCTGGGGAGGTTTTTTTCCCCTTTAAAAGTGGGGCTTAGGGCTCATATCTTGACAAATTGTAAATGGCTTCTTATCTCTCTCCTTCCTGAGTTCCCGTTCTGTACTGACTTTCTAATCCCTGGCACTTGCCCCTTCCATAGGGGGCTAGGAATCCATCCACAGGTGTCACTGTGACAAACAAGAAGAAAATCAGATTGCTCTGTAATGCCTGTGAAAATATTATGACCCACTCTATATTTGCCAGTGGAGGGGGCCTCCTGGGTCAGCCCGCACAGCGTGGGAACCTGTTCCAGCTAATTAAGGGGGTGAGGCTGGGACCGTGAACTTATTTGAGGGGAAAGAGGGTTCGAGTACCATGTTCCATCACGAAGTTAAGCACTTCTTGTCCTCCAGTGGGCAGGAAGCCCCTGGAGCAGGTCTTGCCCTGCTCTGTATCTCCCACAGAGCCTGGCACAATACCTGGCTGCGGGTGAAGAGCCACTGATATCACTGTGGCTTTATGTGGGAGGGAATGTTCTCTGGGCCCTGGAGGAGAGGATGTGGATGGACAGAGAGGGAAAGAGAGATGAGGGCCTGAACCTGGACCGTGGCAGTGGCCTGAGCTTCCTCTACGGGACTGGAATCACCAGACCAATTATTGGTCCTGAATTTTTGAATTTCAGTTTTTGACAAGCAGCAACCTCCAAGCCCAGAGGCTCTAACACAGACTGCAGCTCTCCCACCTCGGGACAGCCCCAGATCAAATCCGAGCTCTGCTGTTTTGTAGCTAGGGGATCTTGGGCAAAATCACCCTTTGCCTCTGAGCCTCGGGTGTCTGTAGAGGGGGGATGAGGATCCCTCCCAAGACAGAAGTTATACAGATGAAGATAGAAAGGAGAAACGGTGTGAAAGTGCCTTGGGAGTGACTCACTTGGCACAGATGTCAGAGGTTTTGATCATCATTCCTCATTATAATCATTTTGCCCAACTCCTTCAGAGGGCAGGGCCGATGGCACACTAGAGGGCCTTAGGATGCTCAGGCCCCGGCATCAGACTCGTCTGGGAAGTGTCTCCCATGCAGATTCCTGGGCTCTGTCTCAGACCTATCGGATCCGAGTCTCTGGGGAAGGGGGCATCTTGGAGGCTGCATTTTCACAAAGCTCCATGGGTGGCTTTGAGGCCTACTGCAGTTTGAGGACCACTGTGTCACACGCTCAGAATGCAGTGTCTGTGCATGCTTGGGATGGGCCCGTTCAGATCCACCAACCATCCTGGCCCCAGAGGCCTCACCATCCAGGAGGAGCCAGGGCCTTATGTGGGCCCAGAGGCAGGGCTTCTGCCCAGGCCAAAGGCCAGGGAAGGCTTCCTGGAGGAAGTGACATCTCAGCTGAGTCCTGAAGGAGGTGCTGGTGGGACCCAGGCCGAGAAGAGGGGCAAGGTGACCCAGCAGAGGGCACAGCTGATGCAGGCGATAGGGGGACAAGGCACAGTCCCTGTCCTCAGGGAGTCACTGTGGTGGGGGAGACACAGTGGGGGTGGTGACAGGCGTGATGAGGCCACCATCAGGTGGGAGCATGGAGAGAACTGCCACTTCGGCCAGAGTCACAGATGAGAGGGGTCAGCAAGGGCCTCAGAGGGGAGGTTTGAGCACCTTCCTCAAGGATGAGTAGGATTCTGGGGGTTGAAATTGGGGTGAGGACATCCCCCCTCTTCCCGGAGGCTGAGCCAGGGCTGGTGCTCAGACCGTCCCTCTCCAAGCTTGCTCCTCCTCCTTCTCTTCCCCACCTCTGCTCCTGCGTCTGTCCAGGCAGGCGGGTGACCTCTCCCCTGGCCCCGCCCTGCCACTGAAAGCTCTGTGACCCCAGGCAGGCCCCAACCCCTCTCTGAGCCTCGGTCCTCTCTAAGATTCCCTCCCTCAGGTTCCCTAGCCTCAGATTCAATCCCAAAGAAGCTTGTCCCCTTAACCCCATATTCCTGGGGAAGTGCTGCCACCCAGTGGCCTTTGGGAGAAACACCTCCTGGGGCACCCCGCGGTGGCAAGAGTCCCCCCACTTTCCACTCCCGTCACTGTCACCACCAGGCCCAGCTCAGGGCTGGCTGGGGAGGAGTCTTTGTAGTCCGAGGCCATGGTGAGGCTGGTCATGCACGTGCCGTGCTGTGCCTGCCGTGCCCGCCCCTCGGCACTGCTGTGGCCCCAGCATGAGGCCTGACTCCTCGCTGACTCACCACTGGCTTCCCAGGCCCCTGGAAAGGTCAAGAAACCAGGGGCGGTTGGGCAGGCTCGGTTCAGTTCATCGTCAGCACGGAGATTTAGAGCGTGGGCTTTAAAATCAAACGGATAACTACAGGAATCCCAGCGGCTGACAGTGGGACTCTACCCCAATGCCCCGGGCCTGCGCCAGGCGTCTCCATCCCTCTCACGTGACCCTCACAACGGCCCTTAGAGGCGGTGCATTCGTTCACGCATTCATTCATTCACTCAATAAGTGTGTATGGAGCACCTACCATGTCCAGGCCACAAGGACACGTCAGGGAACACTAGTCATACCCCGCCGTGACAGGGCTCACCTGCTGGGAGAGGCAGGCGATGAGCCCAGGTAACACCTCCCACTTCAGAGCACTGGGCAGGGCCTCAAATCAAAGGGGAGCCCAGTGGGAAGGAATGTGATTGTGGACTTGTGGGGAGCTGGTGGGTGGGCTGGACAGAGCATTGCCTCAGTAGCAGCATGTGACCCTGGAAGTGTCACTTGACCTCTCTGAGCCTTGGTCTCCATGGGTGAAATGGGTATCATGAGAGCCCAGGTGTTGGTTTTAAATTTAAGTCAGACCATGGCATGCCCTGCTTACACCCTCCAGGGTCTTTCCATCCCGTGCAGAGTAAGCCGAGGTCCTCACCTAGACATCTGGGCCTGGCTGCCCCTCCGCCACACGACCCATGGCTCCTGTCCATTCACATTCCTGCCTCTGGCTACCTGCTGTTCCCAGGACACACTGGAATGTTTCCACCTCAGGGCCTCCACTCTTGTAGCTCCCTCTGCCTGGAACGTTCTGCCCTCAGGTGGGCCCACTCCCTCACTTCATCCACATCTCTACTTACACGTCACCTCCTTGGGGAAGCCGTCTGTGAGCACCAGCTCAAGTACAGCCCTTGGCTGGTCTCCTTCAGAATGCCTGTGCGCTTCCTGCCCGGCACACGGCACAGTATGGGATACATATGCATTTGTTTGCTTGTTACCCATCTTGTCTGTCTCCCCACCAGACTGCAGATCCCCCAGGGAAGGAACCTGGCCCGCTGGGGT